TCTGCTTTATTTTTATATTAAATTTTTTCGGCGTTTAGGGAATTTACATCCATCGTCAGAATATACATTTTTAAAATACAGAAGAATAACAAATGATATAACCATTTTACATTTTATTATAAGCGTACCTTATTTTATTTTATAAAAAAAATTAAATTTTTCATTATAAAGTTTCTTTTAAAAGGTATATGACCATTTTCCATATGTAATTTATCTTTCTTAAAATAATTACTAATAATGTTATTTAGATTGTGAATATTTTTATACGATAATTTTTTAATAATTTTAATATAGTACCCATTTATAAACTTATTCCTATATTTTTGTTTAAACTCTAAAGAGAACTTCCTAATCGTAATTATAAAATAATTTTTAATGAATACATAAACTTTTGAACACAAACTCTTTCGGCGTAATTTGTGTGTTATAGTAATAAAACCCTTTTCCAGGTTTTTTTTTAGCTTTCTGCTTTATTTTTACAATAAATTTTTTCGACGTTTCGGGAATTTACATCCATAGTCAGAATATGTATTTTTAAAATACAGAAGTATAACAAAAGATATTACCATTTTACAACTAATGGTCACATAATATTTAAATTTTTCAATAATTATAAAGTTTCTTTTAATAGACATATGACCATTTTGCACCTGTAATTTATCTTTCTTAACATAATTATTAATAATGTTATTTAGATTGTGAACATTTTTATACGAATTTTTTTATAATATTAATAGAGTACCCATTTATAAACTTATTCCTATATTTTTGTTTAAACTGTAAAGATAACTTCCTAATCGTAACGATAAAATAATTTTTAATGAATACATATACTTTTGAACACTTTAGGCGTTTTACTGGTTATTTACTTTACCGGCTTTCCTTCCAATTCACAAAATAATTTCTTTTTAAATAAAGGTTTTTAGTTTTTCAAACAAATAAAAATTGCCGTGGGTTCTGGTGTGAAGAGTCTATCTTTTTCGGAATTAAGCTCAGGGATAGACAGTTTGCTTCGATTAGAAGATAATAAGTCAATTACGCGAAAAAGTTGGTTGTGCATGACAGGAATTGGAAGAGGCGTTTCAAAGACGTACACCCTTCTGTTTACATTAGAGAAGGTGTGAAGTGTAGTTGGCCGTCCCCATCGGAAACTGATTCAATTTCCCCGGCCTGGGCCGGATGTTAACCCCCACACGCAAACCCCCATAATTAATTGGGACCGTTTCTTTCCAGCCGAAACCCAATTTACATGAAAATTGGTTCATTCGCTACCTGGAACGAATTAATCCCTCCCCTCTAAATACACCTTGTCCGATTACCTTTCCTCCTCGTTAGTCCAATGCAAATGCAAAGGCGGATGGATGGCCCAATTCGCCCGAGACACGGATCTCCTTTTTCTTGAGCATGGAACGGGGAACGGCGGCAACAATTTGTAAGATCGTGGCTACCTCAGCGGAGGAATTCTCCTCTCATTCCCCTATTTATCACTCTTTTTTTCCAGACCGCTACACTGACGGGGTTCTCAGCCTTTCTTTTTTTATGGTTCCCTTTATTGGTACTCGATCATCTCGGCCCTTTACGCCTTTTCAACATACCTCAAGAACGCGGTGTCGTGAGGAAATGCTTTCAACTCTTCAAAAGCAGAATGCTCAATCAAATCTCTTTTCATAGGAAACCGAGGGCTACATCCAAAACGAGTATTTACTATTTACCATACTTATACATCAGATGAGTGCTCCTAGCATTAAACCAGGCGTGTTAGAGAAAAAATTTATTGCAAACTTTTCTGGAACAAAGGACATTGAAAAAGTAGTGTTTTTCTGTACTCTGCAAAATGTAATAAACAATTAGATCAGAAGACAATCATTGAATGTTTTATCGTAATTACTGAGGAGGTTTACAAATTATAATTTTAAACCATGAGATTTCTCCATGGCCATGATTAATCCGTATTTTGACGGTTTCTTAATATTTTACCCTTCCTATCCTTGCGGTTTTGGTCAAAAGTGGTTGTCTTCTTCCCCAGATATGCCGAGCAATGTAGGAAGACCAATATGACCCGAAATTCCAAATTAAATATTTTGTTTTTATAATGAACTTCGATTTATACCCCTAAATAATAAGAAAATAGTCAGTTCCTTCTTCGAACCTTGAGGAAAACCTTGAGGAAACGTTCTTATTCCATTTTTTATATGTATTGATGCGATTACATAAAATTTCAATTTATACTTTATTGTATTTATACCGCTGAGGCGCTACACTGAAAATAGATTATTCATATTTGGTTATTTTTTAAATCGGAAACTGTTTCTTAGCGTTCAAGGACCGGAAAACGTTTTTTCTAATTGACCTCATCCCCGATCATCTTTTAATCACGAACCTCCAATAAAACATTAATCAGTCGTATTGCATTATTTTTAGAAATATTATTTACATTATTGTAAACTTGTTAAACGTGAATTATTTGGAGATCGTGAGATGCGGTCTGGTGTGATGTAGGTTTCAGAAAAACATATTCTTTATCGTGCCAACGTTTCGATCTTTATCGAGATCATCTTCAGGGCTCAAAGTGTTTGTCTTCTGTGTAATTGTGCCATTATTGCGTGTCGTGTCAAGTTCAAGATTTTGGGCACTCTCAACACGACACGCAACAATGGCACAATTACTCAGAAGACGAACACTTTGAACCCTGAAGATGATCTTAATAAAGATCGAAACGTGTGCACGATAAAGAAAATGTTTTTCTAAATCCTACGTCACACCAAAACGCATCTCACGATCTCCAAATAATCATTGGCTAACGGTCACTAAACACCACACATGTTTAATTAACATCGAACAAGGACGTCTGGTAGGATGAGATTGTTTATTGGACGATGAATGCAGGGAAGACCAACTTCGTGATGAGGCTCGATTAGTTCGTGATTATAATCTATTATGCTCAATTAGGCGAGAGCGTTTCCATCACTTGCGGTTTACCGGATTCAATCACACTTTCAAATGCCTCAATAAACCGACATATTAGAAAACTTTGCGACTGGCTAAGATTATTGTCATTTAACAAAGTTCTACATGGAAGGTACATCCAAAGAAATATTAGGGAGTACAATCATTATAATTTATTAGACGGCGAATATTTTTCAAAATCCTTTTTGACGTAAATTTTCGGCCGATTGTATATTGACGAATTACGGTGTATACCTAGCCCGAAAAGGGCTTTTGTACTTAAGTATAACCGTAAGTCCTAAATCATCTACGAATTTTAATAGTCCTCTCCTGTTGTGCCGGTTAGATACCGAAATATTTTCAGGGGAGGTATGTTGGCTACAGTCTGATAGTAAAAGTGACGTACTTTACGTTTTTTGCACAATTTATATACACTGAGTTTATCGATGCCAATCTTTTTTAAATTTTTATTCAGTCTGCCATGTGAGTTCTTTCGAAAATTTGTTCTTGTTTTGTGTACAATTTAGTTACAGATCCCCGATGTTTTTCTAGTGATCAGCTCTAAAAATGTCTAAGATATTAAATATTCCTAGCACACAAATATCAACATTGTCAACGATTGTGTCAAGAACAAACCCTTTCGTGAATATTATACACTTCTCAATTTTCCTTGATTTGCGGCTGTTCTTCTTCCTTAGATGGCTCTGCTTTGCAGACTAAATATTTTTTTAATGTTCATTCGTTTGAGCTCATTGTGTTTGAAATAAAAACTTTCGGCCAACAAGGTCTTTACTTTTATAGTTTATGTACAAATTTGAAAACAACGGTTTACATGTTCATAGGCTATGATTTACTTTTATAAATTTTAAAATTTGGAACAGTGGATCCACAAACTCGCTCAAGTATATACCGCATGGCATTCCTACATCTTCTCTTTATAAAATAACAAATAAACTCTTATTCACTTACGTATATTAAATCTCTTTGATGTTAATGAAGAATATACAAGGTGCAAAGAATTAAAATTATATAGATTTGTTATTACTATTTTTATTTATTTTATTTTAAGAACGTGTTAGGTAAACGTTCCAAATCCAATATGCGGAATTTTCGTTGGCATACCTGCTCTCCATATGTAAAATCCGTTTTTCCTTGTCAGTGTCTGTCAGTCACAGTATAAAAAGCAAATGTTCGTAAAAATGCTGAACAGAACACAAGTTGGTTGTCGTTTCTACCTCCTATTTAGAACTCAATGTCCATACTTCAAAAAATTGAAGAATGTCTGTTATTGAATTTTTTATTCTTTAACGAATGACACTTTTCAAAAATGAAGACAGAATTCGTTATAATGACACTCTTAGTCTTTGCTAGGTTGGTGTAAAATTATATTTGACTGATTGCAATCAGCTAGTTTCAGCGCGGATAAACTATCCCGAAAAATATCTTATAAAATACACTACACTGCTTCTCACCAAAGGTCGTTTTATTTTAATTTTGAAAGGAAAACCCCAAAACTCATTATTTTTGTTAGCCGTGTAATCAGTCCAGATTGGTGAGGTTTGCTCTGTTTATTTTCCGACCCGTGGAGAGGAAGGTCTTTCATGTACCCCGTTTTCAAAGGGAATGCGGCCGCTTTTAACCTTCGCCGGTTCAATTATTACCTGGAACACCTCACCGATCTGTCTTGGCGTACTGGGTGAAAAACCATCTAAAATGTGGCGTGTAATTATTACGTTTGAACTTTCATCGTTTGAAAAAAAAAAATAAATACAAATAATCATTATGTCTTCGTTTTCTTTACTTTATCGATTGTGGCAAAAGCGGAAATGGAATTAGGTTAGAATTAGGTTTGGAGAAATAAAACCTTTTTTGTTGAAATTTTAAATATATATAAACATTCAAAATTTACATATATTGCAATATTTCATTTTTAAAAACATTAAATTGCCTTTTTATTTGGCCATTTAGCCATATAGACAAAACAATCTGTCTCTCTCTCTCTCTCTCTCTCTCTCTCTCTCTCTCTCTCTGTGTGTGTGTAAGTGTGCGCGCGCGCGTGCGTGAAAGAGCCAGAGCGAAAGAGGTAGGAAGATAGAAAAAGAGATCTTATAACATTGAGGAATATGATACTTTAATAATTAACTCAATCTTACTTATTTTTAGATTTTATATTAACAATATTATCAGCAAACCATTGCATAATACAGCCCAATACAACGAATGCTGATAATGTTTTTCATTACGTTATTTTAATGAAATATTTCATAAATACTTGCTGATATGGCTTGGGAGTTGTTGACAATCACTTTTAATAATTATTAGCAGTATGTATATGCGACAATAATTTTTTGATGAAATATTCCGAGATGTGTGCAAATCGTTAAACTAATATGGTGCAATTAATTAGTACGTAAATACTAATAAATGAAAACGGAGAATTTCTGTTAAACTAGAATTAATAATAACAATAATTAATTCGGTCGACCTATCAAATATCGACAGAATCAGCCTTATGTGGGTTTTCAGAGAAACCCGACTCTTTCGTAAAATGGTCGACGGTGGTTAACATGACCCCAGGCCATTATTTCTCTTCTTAAAATTCATGCTCCTCTTTATATTTTTATTTAGGCTTCTTTAACCAGGGGTTTTTGACATTAGTAAACAATGCAAAAAAATTGTTAGATCACTGTAGGTTTTGAACAAAACAGATATGTTTATGCTAATATAAAGATATGTAAACGTGAAGATATCGTGATACAACGGAGAGATTTTTCTCTAAGCCAGGTGTGCAACAACGATAAACCAAGAAGACTTTCATCATCTAATATAACATTTTTATTTCTAGAGACTTCTTTTCTTTTTTGTGAACCCAACGTTCAAACCAGTAAGCCGTGAAAGCCAGAATGAAACCAAGGATCAGGATAAAATATGCGAGCGCCATGGGTTCCAGGTCTAAGGACAAAGCGTCTTGTTTCCAATGGCATTCCGGCTTTTCCACGATCCAATAATTTTTCTGTCTGTTCATCAATCCTCTTTCGCGAATTAGTGCAAACCTAAAAAGCATTCTGTTAGAAAAGAAGTTTTATCGATTTTTCTTTTTTATTTGTGTAAGCGTACGCTCTGTTAAACATTTCCTTATACGCTGAGTTGTCACGTGCGATGGCTCCGACGTGAAAAGGTTTGTATTTTTCCACCTCGGATAACGAGCAAATCTCAGCATCGCTCATTTTAAGCATAATCTCAGTGTATAAGGCTTCGTCCTCTGTGAACAATGCGAACTGGCCTTTTTTTATTTTTAACACTCCGTCCGCAACGTTAAAATAAACTTGTTTAGCCTTTTCAAGCTTCTTTCTCGTACGTAACGTCAAAGAATCGTTCAAAGTCTGAAAAAGTATAGTTTAAATTTTATACTTTAAGCAAATAATCGACAACAAACTTGTATTTCGTTGCGGAAATAAGGTGCATCCAGAACTCCAAGATTGACGTCGCTATCAAGAAGTTGTTCTACATTCTGGATCGCGTTCGGAGCTTGTAATAAAAGACCGTTGAGAATGGCAGTGTTGTAATAAGCTGCGACAAAAAACGTGACCAAGAGCAACGAGAGGTAGATGATCCTTGTGGAAAGCATGTACGAATTGTCAGGAAAGCCTGCGTCAAGAAATATCCAAAAATATACAAATCAAATCAAATTCCATAGTTAAATAAAATTTATGGTCCATCTTCACGCGTTATTTTTGTAATATGTTCTTGATTTTTTTTAAATTAAAAGAATAAACATGTACGCATCCAAAAATAACATTAAGATAAGACGAGGCCATTGGTAAAACAAAACGTTTGAATAATCACCTTGCTGGGAAAAAGACGAAAGCACGAGCAGTATGCTGCCCCCTAAGTTTTCGTTGCAAACCGAAGTCTTGTCGTGCCTGGAGACCGCTTTGAACGCCAGGACACCTAAGAGCATAAAAATGCCAAGGCAGCCCCAGACACAAGCATCCAGAGGTAGAACAAGAGCCTTATAAGTGCCAAACAACTTAGGCTGAAGAAATGTAAAACAAGCCCTAAAATTGATACGTAATAAAGAATCACTACCAAATAAAATTTTTACATATTTAATTACATCTTAGGGCATCTATGAAACGGCGCTTCGTTATGTTAAACCTGCACGACAGATCTGTCATGTAGGGTTATAATCCATTTACTCGCCTGGATAAGAAGTTTCACACGAAACATGGAATCATGATGGTACTTGTTATAATTTTTTATTAAGTAACCTGGATTTTTTGAACGCTTATTTTCTTTTTATATTTAGAATTTGTGTGTTTTTTAAATAAAAAAACTTTGGCATTTTTTTTTGTAATTTTTGCGTACAATAGCATCGTGAAATCATAGATTTTTCATTGTATGTGTTTCTGTCTACTTCTTGAAAAAAACATATTTAATGGTAGATTCAATGATAGAGCGTTAATGCTATAAACTACTGTGTATCGTTTGTTGCTTAATTATTCAACTATTAATCCTCTGGGGATAGTGTGTAACCTTTTAATACAATTCTGTAATTTTTTCTTTCCAGTAGATACGTATGAAATTCAGTTTGAGTATTTTCCAAAGATTGTATAAATTTTCTTTGCGCGGAGTTGTAGAGAATTTTCATTGTTTTTTATGATGAAGGAATTTACGCCTCCTATGTTTTCTAAAATTGTTGTTAGTGAATGAGTATTCACTACGTTTTTAAATCGGTAGAGATTTAGTACTTTTGTTTCCATTTTATTTTTATTTAACGTTTCAGTAAAATATTTGAACATATTTGAAATTGATTGTTTGTAGGAATTGGCGTACTCACAGTAGTTTACGCAGTATTTTTTTCCTCGGGTCCCTGTCAGCAATTTGTGTACCAGGCCGCTTTTTCCCAAAAATTTTGTGCCGCCCATCTGTTCGCTTAAGGTACTAACCTTACAAAGAGGCACTCTCAACCCGATAGACAGGAATGACACATCTTCACGAAAAACAAACACTTTAAGCCCAGAAGATGATCTCAATAAAGATCGAAACGTTGGCACGATAAAGAAAATGTTTTTCTAAAACGTACGTCACACCAGGCCGCATCTCACGATCTCCGAATGTTCACTGAGTTTGAAAAAATAATTCTCACTTATACTAATTCCAAAGTTCCAAAGCCATAAATGTTCAGAAACTTAAGAAAAAACAACAACAACAAATTTTTACAAGCCGTTTTACACTACGTGTCAACGAGTCTCAATAGCCAACATCTCTTAACGAATATGAATTTGATAAATTGCTTTCAAGATGACGGTTTATTCTGTTCGAAAAATGAAAGCACGATATTTTTCTAAGCTCAAAAACATATACATGTAAAAAATCTATTTTTTCATGTTTTCATTTTTATTGAAATAATTTACGGCATTACACACATTTTAAAATTTCAGCCTGTTTACATGACGAAGATGATTTGCATTGAGTAGGATGAGAAGTTGAGTAAATCAATCAAAAACCGTACCGTACGATGTGTAATGATGTCACAAAATCGATGACGTTGTATCTTTCCATTACGTATTTTGCTGGAGCCAGGCCGAAATCGCTTTCGCCCCTTTTCACCTGGCCCACCATGCCTGTCCATGTGCCGTTCTTCAGCGGGTCGCCCCATGCATTAGACAAAACGTAGGACATCCTGGGGGAAAATCGGTTAAACGGTCTTTCCACTCTGGTTGAAACAGATTAACTAATTTACCTGAAATTATAGAATTCCGATATGTGCATGAATAAGGACAGCCCGAAGCGCCTCACCATGTCCTTACCAGGTTCGTACGATTTGTCGAGTAAGGGCGGTATCAAATTACTTAGATTGAACTGGATGTCGACCATCTTAACAATATTTTAGCTTTAGTTATATGCTCTTTCTTAAATGCTAAGAGAAACTAATCTAATGTCTAATTGTCGTATACGAAAAACCAAAGGTGTGAATAGTTGAAAAACGTTAATAGCAAGGAAAGGTCAAAAATTGGGTATAGTGCATATCACATTGAGCAAGAATAACAGATTTACTAAAAATGATTATGATGGAAATTTTTGAAAAAATGGTCAATTCAATATTGGAAAATGGTTTTGGAAATTATCCTTACAATCTCCTTTGTAACTGACATGTAGATCTCTTTTCACGGTGATAAGGATTTAAATGCGTGAAATTTGGATAACAGCCAAACTAAAACAGTCGATCAAACCATGGGCCATGGATAGTACCAGCAAAACAGAGAGAATAATGTTGAACCCGACTGCGAATAGGCCACACTAGACTGACGGATGGTCCTCTCTTGGCGAGAAAAAGTCCACGGAGATGCCCATTGTGCGGCGCACAAATAACTGTTAAGCATTTACTAACCGAATGCGAACTATTGGCGCCGCACAGAACAAAGTGTGGCCTTTCCTCGAGTTTGAAAGAGGTTTTACAACACAGCAATGTCAACAGCAAGAACGTAATCGAATATCTGAAGCAAATAAATGCATATGGTCGCCCTTAATGCTCCTCCACACGTGGTTTCGTTTTCCCTTCCTGAAGTGAGTGTATTTATTGGCGAGAATGTGTGAGTGTATGGGTGGGTACTGGTCGGAATATAGAGTACACCACAGACCCACCAAACTAGGATAGATGTCTCTTTGTGTGTTTTGGGTTGAATGAATGTATTTATTGGCGCGAAAGTGAGTGTGTATGTTGTACAGGAATACCGAGTACTCCACAGACCCACCAATTTAGGTTAGGGATGGTTTTAGGTTAGTATTAGACTATAATAACATTTAGAGTGAATGGGTGGAGGCACTGTGTGCGCCAGTGACTCCGCATTTTTTTAATTTGTAAATACAGAATGATTGGTTACTGTTTGAGTGAATGTATTTATTAGTGCGATAGTAGCGTATGCATGGGTGGGTATTTGGTGGAATATCAAGTACCCCATAAACCCACCAACTTCGGTTAATACTTTAAATTAATTGTAATTTTAATTGTACATACTGTATGGATGTATTTATTAGCGTGAACGAGGGCGGGTCTTCAGAGGAATATCAAGTACTCTGAAACCCGCTTATAGGTAAGGCTAGGAATGAATGTTAGTGAATGAGATAGTTTCAGAGCCTTTTCACCACGTGTAGGAGAGCTAAAAAATGTAGAAATAACGTCCCAGAACATAACCAGAAAGATCGCCAAAAAACAGCCAAAAACATTTTGCGATTAGCACAATCCTTTTCAATCAATTTATGTAGCACGTATAGGAGAAAGCTGGGTACAAAAGATTTATTATAATGAAGAGATGATTACAGTGTAATATTTTCTCACAGAACGACTGATTTATTTTGCGATTTGTTAACACCTAAGGGTTAACAGACAACAATAAAAAAATGTGTGAGTAAAAACAATCGATTCTTCAGCATATTAATTTTTTATGCTTAAGGGTACCTGGACTATTGCAATCAGTATTCAATGGTTAAAAAAGTTCCTGTTCGTGCCAAATATCGCGAATTATAATTGTTTATTTTGTTTCCAAATGCCGCTAATCTAGAATTTATCCTAGCTTTGTTCCCACCACACAATCCGTTTTTTTCCGGTCCTAGGCTTGTTCTAGTCCTGTTCATTTCCGTCTCGCTTCCATACAGTCCACTATTAATTAGCCTCCAAGAGTCATCTTTCTTCAGTTTTCCTTCAGTTTCTCTTATTTTAAAGAAGTTTTTTTTTCGTTTTGATAATTATCGCGCTCAAAATAACGCGAGTGCCTCCTCCCGCGTCCTTAAGGCGACACATCATCCAGGGTTCGGATGGAGCCCCGAAGGTAATTAATTGACTAGGATTCGGTTTTACCTTTGGCCAGAGTTATTGCAGGTACTAGCTATTAAACTGCTTTCCTCCCTGGTTGTTTAAAAAATCAGGAAACAGTTAACAAGTTAGTACTTTATTTTATTTTTATTGCGACCGACCAGCGCGTGCACATAAAAATTTGGTCCTCCGGGCCGGATTAAATTTTTTTTTGAAAAACCGATTGTCGTTTATGTAAAGAATTTATCAAACCTAGCGCAAGGGTTAACAATTGTTTATTTACGCCTACACATCTAGTACAAACCTCTTATCTTTCCGTTCAACTCCCAAAACCTTTTTCGTTTATGTTTAAATAAAGTTACCTTTTTTTAACGAACAATATTTTTCGATAGCAATTTTAAACAATAAGTTAGTAAATTTCTTCATATTTTGCACGTTGAAAGTTTCATTAGAGTACGCACGCCATACACTTAAAAAACAAAATATAAATTTACCTTGTTTACTTCCGTAAATTTTAATTCTTGTCTTCTTTTATTCAAATTTCCTTATCACTTACAATCACCAGCTTTACTAATATGCCTCCAAATGCAGAAGTTCAAGAATCAATCAGTTCCTTTTTGAATAATATTAATAATAACAAAGAAAATAAAATTATTATTGCTGAAGGTTTCAACTGTTTATAAAAAAATAATCAAATCGCCTGTAAGAGATAATAACAATTTGTCACTTCTCAGCATCGTCTCTGTGTGGATTATAAAAATCCTAGGAGTTTCACGATCTTTACCCTCTTAACTTTGTTAGCTCGTGTTAGATCGAGAAAAATGATAACGTAGACCTGTTAGAATCGTCTAGTTAACATTGCTAGATCTAACAAGGTTGGGCCATATTCAGTCAAATGGAACAGCGATCTAATCACATTGCTGGCACTTAAGACGTAGGTAACAAACACGGTGGCTATAAATTTAACAGTTGGGTTGCTGTTATGTACTTTTATTTTTAAATACGCATTAATTAAATCATGTTAGTACATTTCTAGTGTTAATTTCGGACCTGTAATTATGCTCTCATTCATAGGGTAGTATGGTGTGAGGATACAGTATGTATGTATATATATATATATATATATATATATATTTATATTTATATATATATCGGTACGAATTGGAGATAGTCCTTCTTTGTTATTACTGTTCGAGTATTTGGATAGCATTTTGATTGAAAGAGTTAATTAATTTAGCTTTTATACTGACTTTTGTCATCTTACAATTTAACACTAAACAAAACCATAACAAACAACAACTCTTCAAGAACTGTCATAGCTTTATGTTTGGTTCTCCATGCGCAGCATTGCGGAAAAATTAACATTTAACACGCTAAGAAAAAAAAAGGGGGAGTTCACAATCTTAATGGAAATTTCTCGACTCGAGTTAACACGCGTTAACATCTAGCAAACGTGAATATCCCTATTATTTTCTTTTTGTATTAAGTATGGTAATTAAATAATATCTGTTTAGACAAAAGGGCAGATAAGACTACCTTATCTTCAAGGAAAAACCTCTTCACATTTGTGCCTTTTTCTCTAAAACATTAATTCAATGTGAATATTATTAAACATGCATGTAAAACAACTATAGTTAAAAAAGGTTTCTAATAATAACAGTTTTAATGTTTTTCTCCAAAAACTATACATTATTTTTAGAATTTTCTAATCGTACCCATTGTATACAATTAATGATTATTACAGAACCTTTATAGAAGTAATGATTGTAAAAATCAAAATTAAATTTTATTAATCAAATCTAAATTAAAATTGGTTTATAACGTTCAAAGAAAATTGGATTTTTCTTCGTTAAAACGTTTTTTTAGGGTGAGGCAAAAAGCTGAAAAATTGTTAACTCGCTCAGGAAAGATTGATGTTTCAATGAATATAGGCTCTCATTGATTATTTAGAGTTTGACAATAAATAACTACTGCTTATTTTGTAATAGAACCCTCACTGGAAGTTTCTAGAGCTCATTTTTTGCTGCGTTTCAACGTTTCGTGCTCCATTTGCTTTGGATCGAACCGGGTAAAATCCATTTTGAAGCTCCTTAAACATGTACCTGGAGCAAATAAGAAGGACCAAAGTGCTTAGCCAGAGCCTGCATCATCTGTGCGCTCGGTATTTTTCCTAACAGGTCGTTTTCTGTTTCTTTTACACGATTGAACTATAAGGCCTGTAAGGTTCCTCTCTGGAAATACATTCGAGGTTAAAATCGAACTGGTTTAATTTTTTTAAATAAAAAATTAGTTTTATTTATTAGATTTCGTGGTCCAACCAAATAACTTTTCGAACAAAATGAAAAATGGCAAGAAGGAGGGAAAATTTGAAAGGTTGGGTTGAGATGGGAAGTTGGTGTCGAGGGGATGGAAGTCACGATAACTCAAGAGGTAGAGCAGCTGCTGGCATTTAGCCGATTGTCGTGGGTTCGAATCCCGTTCGTGACACTGACTTTTTATCTCAACCATACATAAAGATTCATTAATTTAATTAGTTTTATTTTTCATTTTTCTTTTTTACTCAGCCATTTATTATGAAGCTTAAATTTGTATTTGTAGATGATTATCTTCGACAATTTTTTTTCAAAACATTTGAATATCGAGAAAAATTATTATATCGTATGGAAAAACGATTTAATATGACTACGCTTACTACAGATTTGTTGTTGATTTTTAGAAAACGCGAAATTTTATGCAGTTGACGGTTTGTGCTATCTGAAAAATGAATTAACGATACCTTTCATAACAAATATAAGAAAAGAAACGTATTGAACCTACAAAAGCAATTATCGACTAATAATTCGACGTGAAAACATGTGCGAAATGTTCAAAGGAGTGAGCTCACACTGGTCCTCGTTAGCCCCTCTTACCATAAGACTTGCATTAAAAACAAATTGACGGAAATCCGTTCGTTTCGGTTTTTCGTCAAAGCTGTGTCCTTCGTCTGTCCACAGGCCAATCTCCGTGATGATGAAATCGGACGTTTCGTGTATTCTGTACAGGTCATAAAACTTTACGCCGTGGGTGGCGAGTGTGACATCGCTGTCGAGAATGACCCGTGACGATCTTAATGATATCAGGGTCTCGTTTATGTCCCACGTCCATATAAGCCAACGATACGTCATGTTGAACAAACCCAAACTCTGTAATAACGAAAAAAAATTGTACGCTTAAAAAAATAAAATTTGAAATATAAATACGCTTTCAAGGAAATCGTATCCTTCATTGCATGTCAAGTCTAAAAAAACTCCAATTCTCTGTGGCGTAAGGTCCATTGTAATTTTTATCTCTTTATTAGATTGGACGCTTTGTAAAAGCCTCGTGCTGACAAAATTGTACTGGCCGACAAACGCTTTGGTAGTTCTGACCGCATCTAAATCAAACATAAATTTCAAAATTATTCAGAAATCGTGAGATGCGGTCTGGTGTGATGTAGGTTTCAGAAAAACATTTTCTTTATCGTGCCAGAAGTGAATTTATACAATGCAAAATATATTTTTTATATTCAATCAAAATATTTCTACTCACTCAAAGTGTTTGTCTTCTGTGCCTTTCTTACACAGAATACAAACACTTTGAGTGAGTAGAAATTCTTTGATTGAATATAAAAAATATATTTTGCATTGTATAAATTCACTTTTCCACATCCTAAATGTATTTGTTAAATCTAAACAATGTTTGTTAATCCCAGGCCCTGAAGATGATCTCAATAAAGATCGAAACGTTGGAACGATAAAGAAAATGTTTTTCTGAAACCTACATCACACCAGACCGCATCTCACGATTTCTGAATAATTATCGATTAACGGTCACTAATCACCGTAAATTTCAAACATGCACACTTAAAAAACAACACTTCTTTTAAATAATTACCCTTTCCGTTGCAAAAGTAAAAATTCGAACCGGGCATCTCTCGGAAGAAGTGTTTCAATATTTCTGGCGTTAAATCTGGCAACTGGGATTTACATGTTCCACAAATTAAGACGAACGTTAACGCCACAAATTTCATCGTTCCGGTCGGCGATTGGATTCGAGAATGGACACAAAAATGACATCGTTCTTAAAAATTGATCCGACATGTTACCTTCGTCATTCACAAAAGTCATATCGTCCTTTTAATTAAGCAGTCTGTTTTTTAAGTCTATTATTTTATATGACAAAGAGGGTTGTCAGTTTTACAGCGACACACGTCAGTGATTAAAGCCCTTGGGATCTGTTTTATGAATAAAGAATAAAAACATCGTGACCCAATCTATTTTTCTCTTTTACAAACAAACAAACAAAAAATGAAATTTACTGGCAATTCTTTCATACATAATGAAACTTAAAAAATCCTTATTGTAGAATTGTTATAATTGTAACTAGAAAATAAACCCCACTCTTTCAAGTTCAAGTCAGGAACAAGAAAAATATTACATTATACAGAGTATCCTATGTAAGTCATACAAGGTAGAGGGGCCCCGACAAGGCCGATAAATTGTCCAAGGGAATTTCGATTAGGACACTTATTGGCCCTGACCATTTTGCGTCACCCTTAATTGCTGAAAATGTAAAACCATCAGACAATCGATTAAGAATAAGTCCTCGGTTCAATGAGAGCGACAACGGCTACACCTAGGACGTGTCAGCACTGGAATGATAGACGTGATACTACGGCAAATGCCTCAAAGTAGTAGAAACAACCCCGTGCAAATATTGACAGGAAAATGAAAAAACTGTGAAACATCTTCTCATTTCCTGCAAATACTGAGATCCTTCGAGAGTAAACCCAAAGACTTGAAAGATACACACAAGAGGCAATAACACAGCTGTGAATCTGGTGAAAAATTTATGTTTAACGACGACCTCTAGGCAAAAATAGAAATAAGCATAATTGGCCATTATTGGCCTAATATTGACCTTTTAACGTTAATTATGATTATACAAAGTAATTAGAAAAAAAGAAGATAAAAACCTTATTTTAACTTTTCTCATAAAAATATGTACACATAACAACACAAAATTGTGGAAAATAGCATAGTTTAAAGATTTTCAAAGGAAAAAACAAAGAAAATAATTGTTCAGCCAAACTACGTTTTTACAGTTTATTATTAATTACTACTTTCTTTTATTGGAATCAAATTGGGATCAAGTTAATAGTTTAAAGTTCCAAAGAACGTTTTTGCCAATTTTATTCCAACATAAAAAGTCTGTTCAAAAATTAATAATTAATATTAAGTTGAAACCCTTTCTCATGTTTCTCCGAAAAATTGTTTCGTTTTTACTTCAAAAGTCTAAACTACTCTATCTTCAACAATTTCTAACAAATTCCTCTATCAGAACCCAACGTTCACAAAATAAAATCTAGTTTTAGAATCTGTAAAAAACATACAAACATTCTTTTGAAAAGAAAGGTTTACCCCACGAGAAAGCACGCTAAACCCTGTATAAATAGAAAAGCTACTGATTAATAAGATTCATGACATGATCTTATTAATCAGTATTGAATGAAGATTATTCATTTTTGTATTTATGCTACCCGGAAAAAGTACTAATAATGTCTATTTCAAGTCTAAAGAATTGTAAGAAGACGTAGAAGGAACCGTTTGCTTTGCTAGGTTGAATGTAGACAGCCTTCAAAGACTGAAAGAGAAAAGGACAGGGAGACAAGCAGAACAAACAAAGGAACGGTATGTTATCAACTCTCTTAGAAAATCACCGACAAGTTATCGAAGAAGGAATCGTTGACAATTGTGTGAGCGGGGAAAATCATGCCAAGAAGTGTTTGTCAGAAAATTAACAAATAAGAATTAACAAATAATAATTAATTATAAAGTGTGAAGTTTTAACAGCATTTTAAAAACATTAGTAAAACATATAGATGTCTTACATCATATTGATTTAAGTGTTTTCTTTAGATTGTCACTTTTCCGTGGTTGGAAATCTCCAAAAATTCAATAAATAAAAACAAAACATGTACGGATATGCAAAATATATTTTCAAAATCGAGAGTAATCGAATAGTTTTTCCACGTCGTACTTAATGCTATATTCTATAATACAATACAGCTCATGAGGTAATCATAATTATTGCAAGTATATCTGGGCACTCTCAACGAGACGTAAACAATGACACATCCACACAGAAAACAAACACTTTGGGCCCTGAAGATGATCTCAATTTAGGATGTCCAATATGACCCGAAATTTCAAATTAAATATTTGGTTTTTATAATGAACTTCGATTTATAACCCTAAATAAAGAGAAAATAGTCAGTTCCTTTTTCGAACCTTGAGGAAACATTCTTATTCCTTTTTTTATATGTATTGATGTGATTATATAAAATTTCAATTTTTACTTTATTGTATTCATACGCTTGGGCTCTACACTGAAAATAGATGATTCATATTTGGTTATTTTTTAAATCGGCAACTGTTTCTTAGCGATAAAGGACAGGAAAACGTTTTTTCTAATTGGCCTCATCACCGATCGTCTTTTAATCACGAACCTCCAATAAAATATTAATCAGTCGTATTGCATTATTTTTAGAAATATTATTTACTTTATTGTAAACTTCTTAAACGTAAATTATTTAATTACGATTATTTGGAGATCGTGAGATGCGATCTGGTGTGACGTAGGGCACTCTCAACACGACACCCAATAATGACAAACACTTTGAGCCCTGGAGATGATCATAATAAAGATCGAAACGTAGGCACGATAAAGAAAATGTTTCTCTAAAACCTCCGTCACACCAGACCACATCTCACGATCTCCAAATAATAATTTTAAATATATTTATCAAAATATTGACCGTCCAAGTAGCAATTTGTCCACCAATGCTAGAGAATAATCTAGGTAGACAGTCCGAATATACGGCGACCACACTGGACTTACGGGGAGGGACTGTGGGGTTCTGCCAAGCATCCAACAAACAGGGCATTTGTTTCTTCAATCAAAAGTTCTCAGACAAATCATGACAGCAGCTTACTACATCACTAACCTCACTATCCACAACGACCTCAACATTCCTGTTGCCAACGAACGGATTCGTTCTCGATTCCATAAGTTTCACACCGTCTCATTCTTACTTACTGCTTAAGCCCCATTTACACATTCCTACTCGTGAACCCACCATGTTGCCTTAATTGACAATGGCCTCGAGGCCTCCATGCCTCTCAGGGGCTATCATCGGCTGGTTATCACGGCATGCGACCTCAGGTTGCAACGCAGCTATTAGTGTTAATGCTGTGACCGGGTGAAAAAACGTTTGTGATAACATTTGTAATATGCACTAATATGTACAAGGTAGAAAAAAAATAATTTAAAAAATTAAATAAAACAACCAATTTATTTACGTGTAAGTACAAATTTGTCTACCAAGCTTAATCTTGCCAGAAGATTATGTCATATCATAAACACAAAAATTAACGATGAATAATGATATTTTAACGCAGCAAGACTGCCTGCAGTGGATATGGATCGATTATGAAATACTTATTATAATTTGAAAATAAATAAAAAATCCTTTCTCATCTCACTTTCTATTTAGGTTTTTAAATAACAATGTCACTTTTTATGAATACAACGTTTTAATTCAATGGATAGAGAAGAGGCGTTTTGATCCGCCTGCTCTCGCAGTTCGCTCTACAGCAAGTGTCTGAACTGGTAACGAAAATAAAAAAGAATTGACTCAAAATACGGACTAATAAATAATATGCTCATCAGAAGAATGTACAATGCGATACTTTTAGGCTTAACGTCCAACTAACCGTTGGGTATCTCGAGCAACTACTTTAAAAAAATTTCATATTATTCTTAATTAAAAAGATATTGGCTATTCCAGGGTAAGAGTCCATAACCACAAACGTGGCAAATACGAGTTGGCCGCACTAACCATTGTGCGGTCTCTGCAGTAAAAAAAGAAAATTATTTTAACTCTGGGAGAAATTCTCTCTTCAGAGCAAAAACATAATTTTAACAATATCTTTTTAGTAAGTTTTTTCATTTAAAAATATGCATGAGATTTTCAGGAATAAGTTTTAAGTACTTATGTTAAACTTAAAAAAAAGTGTGATTTGTGTAGTAGCAATTTATGTAGTGAAGAACTTTCCTACAAATGATAAATAATACATTCAAAAATATATAAAATAGATAATAGAAACATTTATGTAACAGAAATTTAAAGAAAGAACGCAAACAAAGAAAGAAGATGAGTACAATTTTTAAGGTCTGAGATGAGGAAATAATTTTGGAAAAAGGATGTTATGTAGTTAGGAAGATAGAGGTCGGTAGAATTTGAGCGATTTTAAACAGAACCCATTAGAGATTTGATTCAATTATTTAACCAAAGGCTAAGAAGAGTTGGAAAGTGGAGAGTGAAAATTTGAATTAAGATTTTTTTTATAAGAAGGACAAATGCAATTCGTTGTCGAATGGGTTATATGTACTTGTTATGTATTTGTTTTTCGCCAAAACGGAAGAGGATACAGAAATGTAGACCACGTTCAATGCGGTAATTTCAATAAATAGAATATGAAGAGAAAAATAACGCAGCTATAGTTCAAATAAGGAAATATGTACCAGATTCTGCATAAGAATTTTTCAAAGAGGTATTGGTAAAAGTGTTTTATGGAATTTCAGTTGAAATAAAAACATGTTAAATTTTTAATGATTTTATTTTACGTTCATCTCATTTCAGATTATTTTAATTGTTAAACTTAAGTTAAACACCCAAATTAACTGATTTTTAAAATTGAATTTCTGCTGAATTTACTTTTATTTTATGGATTTTAGAAATATGGCTAAGTTGGTTTTTACTTTCAAGTGCATTTGGTCTTATCGGCATTGTGGTTTATATATTTTTATATAATGTGTATTTTATATATTATATATTTCAATGTCAGATTGTAGTACATTTAGAGATCATTAGCAAAGAATATGTACTTGAGATAACTTGTTTTATGTGGTAAATCATAATGATAAAAAAGAAGCTGGACCCAGAATGGAGCACTGAGGGACACCCCGTTTTACGGGCAACCAAGTGGAGATCTCATTTTGTTTTCCCATGAACGCCTGCTTCCGCTCCGACAGGTAGGACACAAACCAATTTAGCGTTGAGCCGGAGAAGCCAAGGGAAGCAGTATTTAATTAATCAGAGAATTAGGGTTTATGAAAATCAATGAAATTGTTGTCAATAGAATAGCTTTATCTCTTTGCAGGGGAAATCATTCAAAAATGGGTCTTTAAGTCAAG